CTTCGCGCCTTCCCTAACCCTACTTCGCCTGTGCACAGGCGAACGCCTTCGTCCGCGCATAGGACAGAACTTGATTCCCCCTTCCGCGTAGGCGGAATTCGCGCCGGTGGCGAACTCTTTCCGCCGTAGGCGACCGCCTCCGTTTCTTCCAATAATGATAACTCCCTAAGTCCTCATCCGTTCCAAGCGTTCTTGGACTCGTTGGAATCAGTGCGTCGAGCTCTTTCCAATGGGACCCTAACTTGGTCAAGGCGCCCGAGGGTTGACCTAATTATGGAGGGTTTCCCTACAGCCGCGGACGCAACCTCCGAAGGCGGGTTTTGCGCCTTGCGTCGTAGGGGTCCTAACTGCAGAGCTCGCAGGGAGGGTGGTGTCTGTTTTTACTGCTGCACCCCAATCCCAGATTCTACAAGATCCCTCGAGAATCCCCGCGATCTTCCGGATTCACTCCGTTTTGATGTACCGAAGGCTATTTACAATGCTGCCAGGGTACAGTTTTCCAAAAATGTTTTAATTTCCTCAAAATTGCCAAAAGTGGGGTACCACATCCCATTCGACCGCGGCCGTTGTACGAGTCATACAGCCGGCCGAAGCAGAAGGCACGCAGACTGGTGTTACCAGCCAACAGTGCGGACACGGCGACGATTGCGACGGAGAAAGGAAGTGCGTCGCCAGAGGAGCATGAGGAAGCGCGGACGACCGCAGGAGCAACGGACCACGCTGCAACCTCGACGGGCGAGAGGCCGACTACGGGCCAAGGGCCTCCGGAGTTACCACGTGCGTTGCGGACAGGTGTTCCGTTTGCGCACAGACGAGACTCCGCGGACGGACGAGCCTCCGCGGACAGGCGATCACAGGTGGACGTAGATCTACGCTTACGCGTGGGAAGGAGCAGTCCGCCTGTGCACAGGCGCTCGCCTGTGCACAGGTCGCCTGTGCACAGGTCACCTCCACACGTGCCGCCTGTGCACAGGCAGGAATCACCCCCGTTCCAACGTAGGAAGGGGAAGGAGCCGGCGGAAGAGCCGCCTACGAGACACCGGCCCTCGGGGCCAGACCCTCCGGCGCACCACGCGCCGCAATTTGCGCCTTCGGCGCCAGGGCCTTCGAGCCGCGGAGATACGAGCAGGGAGTGTACGGAGACCACACTATCGGCGGGTAATCCGCCGGTAGATGCGCCTTCGGCGGTAGGGCCTTAGGGCCAAAGGACATCGGGCGAGCGGCCCCCGGCCATGTCGCCTTTGGCGGTGGACGTCCGCGGCGCTACGCCTGCGGCGGACAAGGCGCCGGCATTTGCGCCTGCGCACAGGCCAAGCACAGTCCCCACGGACCGATCAAGGGAGCAGCAACAGACGGAGGAGCGGAGTGACTGTCCGCGGGATGAAATTTCGATGCGCGATGCGCAATCAAACCCCGCGCAGCCACCCTCCGCTCGATCGCCTTCGGCGGCGGGCGTCGGCGGCAGAGAGGACACGGTAGACGACCAACAAGCGAGCGGCGGGGATGCCGCACGGGCACATTCGCCTACCGCCTTAGACATTTTGGCGAAGAGCAGCGAGGCTGCAGCCGTTCCTTCGCATGCAGCACACGTCGACGACGTGCAGCCCCACTCGGGTCAGTCGCCGACGCAATCAATGGCGACTGAAATTCTCCACTCGGATGATGACGACGGAGGCTCCACCGAAGAAATGTCAGGAGCAGAGGACACCGAGGAGGAGGAGGAGGAAATTGGAGTGCCGGCGGCGGCGCTCTCTGAGCAGGTGATTCCGTTGCTGAGGTACTTGGATCGCAAGGTCGATAAATACGCCGACCCACTTCAGCCGGGATCTTACATTGAGTTAGTGCGCAGGCGGACTCGCACTAAAGTCCACACCAGCAAGCTATTAGCTAGAGTGGATCAGGAGTTGAGGGAATTGAAGGAGAAGCATGCATGCTTGTGGGGTCAGTATAAACTTAATCAGAAATTCTACAAGTACTCCGAGAAGGTGAGGGATGAGAAACTGGACGAGCTCACCAAGGAGCAGGTGAAGGTCAAGGAAGCACTAATTTCTGAGCAGGCCCAGAATCGGATTTTGTCAGAGGAGCTCGTGCGACAGACGCGGTTGTTGGAACAATGTCAGCTCGCACGGCAGGCGGATGAGGAGTTAATCCGCATGTTACAGTCAGAGTGTGGCGAATTGAGAGCGCAACGTGCTGAGGCCGAATCGCAATTAGTGATAATTGAAGAGGATCGCAGGAAGGAGGCAGATCGCACGAAGGTGGAGACGGCGAGGCGTGTCGCCCACTGTCTCAAGGGCTACGCCCACTGGGAAGTGAAGGCGCAGGAGAAACTCACACTGCGTGAGTTTGAACTTTGCGCAGCCGGGTTGTTGTCAGGCGACAGTAGGAGTCGGCGGAAGGTAGCAAAGAAGCTCGATGCTTTTCTGTCGAAGGCACAGGATACCATGTCCGCCCTCGAAGTGGAGGTGTCCGCGGCGTTGCAACGATTGGGACTGCGCAGTCGAGCGGAAGATTGGCAGGGTAGGGAGTTAGTGCGCGGCAGTCCGCCGCGCAGGAGACGTAGCACAGGTTCCGCGGAGTGTAGTGTAGCGTGGTTCCGCGCAGGCGTGTAGCGTAGTGCAGTGTAGTGCTAGTTAGGACTTAGAAGGTATAAAATTGTTCCAGGCGTTTTGCCTGGGGTTCTTTCCCATCAGAAGTGCAGATCAGGAACCCATTTCCTTTGCGTGTTTGTGTACTTGAGTTCTGTCACCACGCACGAGGAGTTACAACTTAGCGTTCCGCATTTTGTAGCTGAAGGCCTTCGGCCGAATGTTCAGAGCTAGTACATTGGTTAGAGACTTGAGTAGTTCGGATCTGAACCTGCGGGTGACTGCCGATGCTCAGAGCCAGTGACTAGTTAGATACTTGAACAGTTTCGCCCCTACACCTTCGAGTGTTTCTTTCTGATTGTACTCCTTGGGATTTTTCCCCTGAATGCCAAAGTGAAGTCTTTGCTACTTCGTGTAAGCCTTGGTTGTAAATTCAGGTTACGCTGCAGCAGGTGCCTTGAGGGTAACCCCTGTAGTATTTTTGGGAATGACAATTGCCTGAGAATTCAAACTCTTCAATAGACTGTTGTTGTGTTACTGGAATGTTTCTCAGTGAGTCCTTCAGTGCGGACCTGTGTTCTCTGCGCGTTTTGTGAGTTGAGAGTGTTGTTCACCGCGTAGGAGTGACTTCGATCCGAAGTAGGCAGTCCAAACCGGGTTTCCTACACTAGCAGCAAGCTAGTGGAAGTGTTGTAAAAGCCGGAGTTGGGAGTCACTGCCCGCAGCTTTGCCGAGTGTGCTCGCGAGAGACTTTTCCCCCCTGAAATCTTGAGTAGAGGTCCTAACGGATCTCTGGGTTGTGTTTCTGTAGTTTCAGGTGTGTGTGTGTGTGTGTTACGCTGCACTGTGCGACCTCCGAGTGCGCTCCGAGTGGACACTTGCAGTATTTCTGGGAGTGACAGTTGCCTGAGAATTCAAACTCCTCAATAGTCTGTTAAAACGTGACACTTTGTACCCTGTGTGTTCCTCTGTCCCTGTGGGTTCGACCTTTCTACCACTATATTGCAGTTTTAGCCTTTAGTGGGTTATTACAATGTACGAAGTCATACCACGGGCGGGCGCCATTCATGGTTATGCTAGCCATGCATAGGCTATGCATGGTTGAACTCATTGAGTTCAACAAAGTTCTAGTTTAGTTGCACATTTAGTTGCACGTAAAGTCGATTCGAAAGGCTGAAATCTTGTCGAGGGAATCAAAATCTTGAAGACACTTATGGATTCTTGTATCCTTCCCAAGATATTCAAAAAGGACGGGGTACCGTCTGACACTCACGTTCTAGCATCCACCGAGATCTAGCATCCACCGAGAGGGACTGTCCAAAAAGGCTGAAGAATCATCACGCCAGGAATAACGCGGTCCAATGGCGATCTGCGTGGGATCCTCCCATCTTGAATGCAATATTGCTTCGTCCTCCTTATCCTTCTCGGCGCACTGGTTGGATAGAACTAGTATCTCCTTATGGCTACGTTCCAAACGAACAAAGAGCATAAAGCAAGTATGGGAAACTGTGAAGTCAATATGTGTGTGGCCGAGATGGAGGCCCCACAAGAACGACTTCTACGACATAGACGCCAGGTCAACGCTGGGTCCATTTTCCCACGTACGCCAGTTATCTGAGATAACTGGCACCTTCTGAGATAACTTATCTCAGAAGGTGCTCCTGACATACTTGTGCCAAGCTGCAAATGCTCCATGGTGCCCTCTTAACTGCAACTAGTGACCACGTCAAAGAGGCAACATGAGAACGAGCTTTGTCGAAAACCTGGGCCATACGCATGACTACGACGTGTCGAAATTCCATGCTGTAGTCGCAGAAGGTGCCGCTGACAGAAGTCTGCATATCTGCAAAGTCTCCACGGTGCATTCTCAACACCAACTACCGACCGCGACAAAAAGCAACCCTCACGATTTTCATGGCCATTTTGCTGCATAAAATAGCTCAGAGAGTAACTTCACCCCTGATCACTTACCCAGAATGGTTTTCACAAGTTCCTCAGATACGTGACGTGGTATTGTGGCCCGAAAACATTGGATAGTCAAAATACTTCATATCATCCTATTACATAACATTGTTAGAAGTTTAAAAGGTGTGTTGGAAATCCTTGTCATTCTACCGGATGTTCCACTGTCCAAGACAAGTAAATAAGCATGTGCTAATTTTCGTCAACGCTGTAAAATGCTAGTGGGATTGTGGCCCGAGAAAAATGGAGAGTCAAATTACTTCACATCATCGTGTTACATGACATTTTCGAAGTTGAAAAGGTGTTGGAAATCCTTGTCATTCTACCGGATGTTCCACTGTCCAAGACAAGTAAATAAGCATGTGTTCACTTTCGTCAACGCTGTAAAATCCTGGTGCTCGTAGCGCATAGACATCTCGTTTCCCGAAGAAGAACAATTAAACTGGAAGGCGGGATAGCAATTTTCACGTCGCTGATTGCTTCTGCGCTTCTCAGCTTCGACTCGCATTTCTACCAGTTTCGTCTCCCTCAAGAGTTGAAACTTCAAATTTCATGTCGTATCATCTTTCGTTGCTCCTAACAAATATACTATTGCAAGAAAGATGGCTTTTGAAGGCTCCTATGAGTACTGAAATTTTGAGATGCAGCAAGGGTGTATAGAAAACTTTTGTTTGTGAGCAAATGAACCACCTTCGTATGGAGAATCCCCTGATCATCCTGCAATGCATTGAAGGTAAGGTTTAGGAATTAGAATTTTCTGGAAGTATTTGGATAGTCTTAGCACATTTTGTACTCTGCGTGTGAGGTTCTGATTTCTGCATCCACAGCTGTCTAAGAGATGATTGGTTTCAGGTTTCATCGGCACATCAACATCAACTGTGGTGGTGAGGTTGACACGGACCCAGACACAACCCTGGAATTGAAGTAGTACAACTGGCTTAAGAAGATGTCACGATCAACGCTACTGTAAACCTCAATCCAACAGTTGTTCCCGGAAACATTGCGAAAGGGCTGAATACTGCTCTTGCTTTCAACCTGGGTAATCCTGACTGCAAGGCTAGATCGAAAGTCTATTACAAATTGCCCGTGGGTTTCAATGAAACACATGAAACAAGACTGTGGCCGAAGGTAAACGTTTCGACGATCTTGGACTTCATCCGCTGTTGGCGGGCTTTCAAATGCACAGCATCTTCTCGACGAGCCTCGAAACTTAAGAGACTAAATTGGGAGCAACACCTCCACAAACTCACCATCTTCGTTCGGTTCAGTCTCCGAAGACAATCATCTTGTAAGCGAAAATCCTTTCTTACATTCTGACCTGGATCAGATCTTGCCTGCTCCGAACTCAAGTAGCTTGGATTGCTTAAACAGATGCTCACTTCAGAACTCTTTCCGTATATACCCGCATCTCAAAGATCAACATGAAGTACGTTGGATTCAAGGAGATGGAGAAAATTGCTCTAAACATCAATCGTTGTGATCTCAAAGGCTTGGAGATGATCACTGGTTCCACAATGATAGTAAGGGGATGATTCTAGTCTTCATCAAATGAAAAATACCCCTTTCTGACAGGCGTGTATACCCCGTTCCATGGTCGTCACCATGTGGTGTCTGAAGCTGAACTCTCTTTTGATGCTCTAACCACGTTCACGATTTGTTGGGTTATCTTGGACAGGATCTGCAGGTGATCCCAATATGACCATTTTCGAATTTTGTTTTCATGCATGATCATCCGGCTGAACTCCATTCCAGGGTTGCGAACATCAACTCTCATCAAAAGATATGTTGTACGCGTGAACGTAGTTAGCGAATGACGGTGTCCAAATAGAGTACTTCCATTGGCATGGGCTTAGTACCCGGAGCATAGCATATAACTGATCAGTGTAATAACGCTGCAGATTTCTGCCCAGGCTGGAGCCGTGATATCTGGCGACTAATGGCGGGGAATGTCTTGTCTCAATTATCTCTGCGACTGAAATTGGGGGGCAGAAGCACAATGTGTTGGGCTGGAATTCTTTCTGGGGTCTTACTCTCGAACCTTCTTCTCTACCCGGTCCTCTCGCAGTCTACTGGGGCTTCTCCAGAAGGTGAGTCTGCAAAGTGGCTTTCAACTGTGAATTTAGCGGAGAATTTAATTTGGATTATACCTTGCAGCTCCATTGAAAGCCTGAATAGGCAAAGATTCTTGTGCTCGTTCCATCATTTCTTATGCATGAGAATTGCCAACGAGATTCCAGATTGTATGAAGCTGTGAAAACAAAAAATCCGGCTAGTTCGGAAATGCTGATGAACTTCAGGATGCGCCTTAGGATTCATAAGCATCGACTGTGGCGGCTCGAGTGGAGTAGACCCTATCACCTCACTCCAGTGGATCACTGATCACACTCATCTGCAGTCATTCAAAAGTCTTTCTCAAGAGAAGGTGATCATGACCGCCGACGTTTATTACAACGAGAGCTCACCTAGCGTGCCGAATGACGAACAGTTGAAAACTGCTCTGGTGTTTCTTCCCATCCAAAAGACACGCTCGAAGTTTTGCTACGACTTGCCAAATGCATTCAACGCAACTGAAGGATCACGAAATTATCTTCTTCGAGCAATGTTTCCCAGCCAAAATTTGACTCTGAATGGAAACACATTATCGGGATATGCCACTCGGTTCTACCTTACTGTCGACTCCACCTACATCACCACAATCGAGCTACTGCCATCTATGCCGCAGACAATCGAGCTGGTCGTCTCTTCATTAGATGACAAATTTTACGTTTGTCTCGTGTCCTTGGAAGACAAGTCCTCAATGCCAGCTATCTCAACTCTGGAGTTGCGTCCGCTCGATCCAGATACCTATGGCAGAAGTGGTCAGTCGACAGACAAGCAACAGTCGAGCTATCTCATGCTCATTGATCGTTTGGACTTCGGAGGAACACTTGACACTGAGTCGCCTCCTCTCAGGTGCACATGCGAATGAGAATTGAAGAAGAGTGGAGCGAGACTAGCTTTACCTCATCATGCTGTCCAGCGTGTGAAGTGCATGGTGATCATTGACGTTTTGCTTCAATCTGTACGCAGATATCCCGAAGACCCTTTCGATCGTATATGGTCATCCCCACGAATTCCCGAAGGAGCAGAGTTTGAGGCTTACAACCGTACCGAAAATGCAATGCTTGGGGTTGGCGGGGACAATGTTCGCATCCCTATTGCAGTTATGAGATCGATATGGAGGGGAAAAAATATACACTCCACCATCAGCTTTGACGTTGATGTGAAGAGCGCTAGAGCCGTCCGTCCACTATCAACATTGTGGATACAGATGTTATTTTCAAACGTAGTTTCTGGAGACGCGAATCCTGATCAGGCCGTCTATCTAAACGACGGTGATCGAGCTTTGTTCTATTATTGGACGCCGTTTGAGGTTCCCGGTTCTCCCGGTTTTTATAACACAAGAAGCAGAGACCAGGTCATCCGTAGCGATTCCTTTAAAATCAGAATTATGTCAAATGAAACCCCCACAGAAGCACCTGTTCTCATAAACGCAGCCGAGATTCATGGCGAATTTGCAGCGGTGGCAGTGAGAACTTCAAAACTTGATGGTAAGTGAAGGCCACAGTTTGCATTTTATGTCGTTTGTTCACCGACAGCTATGCTTGCAAAATATAGTCATTGAATGACTGGGAATTTAATACGGCTTTGTTTCTTCAAACTCTCTCAGTGAATAATTTCAGGAAGTTTTATCCCGATTTCGCATCAAGTTCTCTAGACACAGCTGGCGATCCGTGCTTGCCAGTTCCTTGGGACTGGCTAGTTTGTAGTATCGAGTTGCCCCCTACAATAACCCAAATGTAAGTTTGTAATCTACGAATTCCTTACAATGGTACTGATCACACAATCAGAATCTACATGTATAGAAACACAAGAATTGATCTCCTTCTAACGATGATCATATACAGCTGAATTCTTGCAAGGTGCGTATATTGAGATTAAACCTTGCCACGGACCAACGACATGAATAAGAATTTCTTGACGTTGCAGAAACCTCAGTTCGAAGCCGTGAGAGGAGAGTTGGACGTTGATTTGTGAAGCCGTCTGACCGTTCTAGACTTCTCAAATAAAAAATTCAATGGACGCAAGCCAATATCCTAGTGACTGTTTCTAAGATGAGATGTTTGACGGGTCCGTTTCTCTGACAGAAATCTTACTGGCAAAGGTGTGGCCGGTGTATTGCCTAGAGTATTTGGGAATTTGAGTCAGTTGACGATTTTGGATCTGTCTGAAAACAATTTCGAAGGGGATTTCCCTGATTCTATCGGAGGAATCCGCACTCTCAGAGAACTGTAAGAACCCAACTCACTCGCTCTTTGGATGACATAGATGAAAGCAGGTGTCTCTATGATTACAATGATTCCATCAGTTGTGCCATACTGGGTGTGGTCATTGCAGTAATTGTCGCAATTTCATATCAATCTTTGATTGAAGGTGTAAACTTACAAGTTTGACGACAACGTCGATCATCATTTGCATGGATCTAAAGTTTCCAATTTGCCAACTTTAGGAACTTGGGATACAACAAGCTGTCTGGAGAACTACCATTCTTCAGTCCAAAATCACTTGACAATCTGGAAATGCTGTAAGTTGTTGAACGCCTCATAACGCAAGTAAGATCTTTTGTAACTGCAGAAATATTGACAAAGTTCGTAGATAACTATCGGTTGAAATCGTTTGACTTATACATATTTTCTAGGTCAATTCAAATTACGAAACTAATTCACTGTCAGCATCGTTGGGGTCAGTTTTGTCAACTTAAAGTCATACGTCGTTATTCAGTTAGATGGCGTAGCTAGCTAGAGTTGAAAGACAACTTGGAATGAAGTAAACTGTTTAAATATTTATTTTTCACGGAGGAAAGATGATTTTGTTCACTCTAACGACCCTCCCATTCATACTACTGCAGATCACTGGCTAGCAATATGTTCGATGGAAATCTGACTTCATTAATGGGAGCATTGGACGAATCGATTCAAAACTTGTGAGTTCAACGAACAGTTTAGGCTTCGAGCTTTATACTATTTTCACACGGTTCTCATTATTTCTGGTCCCATATCCAGTGACATTGCGTCAAAATTGTCACTCAATCAGGATTATTCATCCTGTACTGTTCGAAGATATTGTATTTAAACATCTCCAGAGCATTTTTCCAATGTTTTATAATCGATTGTAGAAGACAAATATGAAACTTGTGTTGCCTGCAGAGACCTCAGCAATAACAAATTCGTCGGACCCATACCTGGGAATATAGAAGTGCTAGAAAACTTGGAGAATTTGGATATGTCCAACAACCAGTTGTCGAGCGAGTTAGCAGTCAACTTCACTAAACTCAGGAATTTGAAAAATCTGTAAGTACACGTTTCAATCAGAGGTAAATTAGACTTGGAGCTTCTGATTAAACAAAGGTAAAGTTGACGTGAGGATCCCTTGCAGTCGAGAAATTTTTTTATTTTTATTGTTTAAAAGTATCTCGTTTCTAAATGAGACTGAGGAAAAGAATCGTGATTTCAGGAACTTGAGCCATAATAATCTGATCGGTACAGTGCCTGACAGCATCTGGAACAGTCGCAATCTTCAATTTGTGTGAGTACGCAGTTCCCAGTCCTCGTATCATATCAGTAGTTAATGTAGCGAAGTCACTAGATTTTGATTCAACTGTATCAAGAGAAAACTGCTATAGTATGTTGGAACAAGCAAGATAACTGGTCAGTTCTGTATGATTTGAATTTCATTATTGCTTCTGTTTTACGGACAGCGACGATGCATTTGGCTGGATAATTTTCACATTTGTAGAGACAATATTTGATGTTATAGTCCTTTTCTTATAACTGAGAACGAAATCTTGATTTTGAGCACTGAAATTACTCATGAATAGATTTTATGTTCGATGTGCAATTTATCAACAATTCAAAACCATATAATCCAACTTCTGTATATACGTGTAGTTTCTCGACACTTCATTGAAGTATTTCTAATCTGTTCACTCAGGAATTTGAGAAACAACAGCTTTGTGGAATTGAATCTTACAACATGGTATAACAAAGTTGCCGAAGGCAAGAGTCTCGATGCTCGTCCAATTCAGCTGCGTTTGGCTGGAAATCAAATACACAGCATTATCTCACCCAGCCTTCAAGCTTTAGAGAGAATAATAGTAGCGCCACCTTCACTATCTGAGCAGCTGCTCTCAATACAGTCTTCACAAACTTTTATCTTGTAAGTAATTAGCCTTCTTACTCTCTGACCTGGTTCAGATGTCCAGATCTTGTCTACCCGAAACGCAAATACTTTGGATTGCTTTCAAAGATGTTCGTTTTCCAACTGATTTATGTACCCGCATGTCAAAGTCTGAAAATTTAAGGATAATTAAATTGCTGCTGAGATGGATTCCTGTTTAGAGAAAATTGTTTTAAAACGCACTCATTGTAATTTCAAAGGCTTGGAGAGAATCCATGGTGCCTCAATGATACTGAGGGAGTGAATTTAAAGTTCATCAAAAAATACATGTGCCGATCTGAGGAGCATGAGAACTTCTGGGCGTCCCCATGTGAGTTCCGAACTTGCACACTATTTCGTTACTGTAACCAAGATCAAAATTCGTTCGAACAGTTTATGAACTATCTTCAGATATTGAATAGGCACATTTTCAAAGTCTTGTGTCATGCAAGTATGCCGGCTGAAATCATCTTATGTGAAACTCTAGCTTCACAAATATCAATTCTCATCATAATCCTGGTGTGGTATGTGAGCGTACGCAGCAAACGATGGTGTCCAAACAGGAATAGTAATTGCCGTGGGCGTGGTATCTGGAATATTCGTGTTACTTATGAGTTGTTTAGTCATATTCTTCACGTGGAAAATGAAAAGAAGCAGTCGTGAACTTCAACAGATACAAGAAGGTCAGTTCTCAGCATACGATTTTGAGGAATCTTTTGGCTCATCGTCTTGAGAATGATCTCTTGGTTTCAACCTTGTGAGTTAAAAAAAGCTGCTCCTTCGTATTCGTATTAACGCTAGTAACCTTGACATTTCTCAGTTTTAGCAAAAGACAACGTGAAGCCACCGATTTTCAGCTACCAAGTACTCAAAACCGCGACTCACAGTTTCTCTAGTTCCAACGAGTTAGGAAAAGGTGGATTTGGCACTGTTTTCAAGGTAATACGCCTGACATTGTGATATGCACATCTCTAAAGCGTCTATAAACGATGGGTTAAGATTTCATTCCTTTTTTCTGTCAGAGTAAGTCTAGTATCCTGGATTTACAGTCATCTCTTTCACTAGGAAAGTGTAGGGAGCACATCGAAGTGTAACAAGTAACTGTCTTTGACAGGCTGAACTAGCAGATGGGAGTATTGTTGCTGTGAAGAGACTCACTCAGACAAAGCAGAGTACATCGGACTTCTTGAAAGAAATGGTAAACATCTCGGGTATCAAACATAGACATCTGATTCAACTCAAGGGATGTTGCGTAGGGGAGAATCAGCAACGGATGCTGATTTACGAATACGCGGAGAACAAGAGCCTCGCAGAAGCCCTGTTTGGTGAGTCAGAAGCACAGAAGCACTGTTTGGTGAGAAAATATTGAGTTCTTCAAGGATAATGTATCTACTAGTATCACAATAGATAGAAGTTTTTGCATGTATATTAAGCTAGCGAGCAAGAGTTATGGGCTCCATTGTTTGCTTGGAAGAATTTTGAGTTTTTATTGCGAACGGTTCAAGTGGATGTATTGGATATTAAGTAAATAACCTACTCGTATTTGGGACTAAGAAGGGGAGAGTTTTTGTCTTCGGACTCACATGTGTAATAGCATAGAGAGCATGCGGTTAAACACTACGAAAAATATGCTAATTATCTCAGAGTTTTATGTATGCCGCTGACCAACAGGTTCAGGTCCTCAATGTGCGACCTTCTTGAACTGGAAACAACGTTACAACATATGCTTGGGAATAGCCCGTGGACTTGCGTACTTACATGAAGAATTGCAGCCGGGTATGATTCACAGGTGAGAATGCTTAGACTCCAACCTCATCTGCAAACCATCCACGTTTCGATTCTGTTCTGTGTAGAACACATCTAAAGAGATGGGAAGGGCACGGAGTTTTAACACCGAATGCCCATGCTCTGGGATATCTCATGCAGCTTGTTCTTGTGCATTACACCGTGACGACATGCGAAGGCACATATCATGGAGTTTTCTGCAGGCTTGTGCTTCGTAACCAGCTTATTTTGAGATGTGTGATTTCTCGGCTTTATACACTGACACCTGCCTCTGAACTCTCAGAGACATAAAGCCGGAAAATATTCTTCTGGACAAGAATTACAACGCAAAGATTGCCGACTTTGGACTCGTCCGGCACGCTAATGATTCAAATGACACTCAAGTCACCATGAACATTGGAGGAACGAGGTACTTCTATAGTCCGAATCGATTCATGAGTATCAAATGCACGACAGTCGCACTCAATTGGTGAGACTCGCAGTTGAGACTTGAATGTGGTATGCCCTTAGAGCAAGGCACTAACAGTTTGGATTCCATTCCATGCAACTACAGGGGCTACTTTTCACCAGAGTATGCACTAGAAGGCGTCGTATCCGAGAAACTGGATGTGTATAGCTTTGGTGTAGTCTTGCTGGAAATCGTTGCTGGAAGAAGGTGCATCGATCTGAAGTTGCCACAAGAACAAAGTGTTCTACGCTCCTGGGTGGGTGATTCTTATATTGCACTGCATCATTATAGCACGAACATTCCAAATCCAGCTCACAAAGCTTCAGGCTTTCAGGAGATACTCATCTGCCTCCTTTATCTGCTACTTCTGCCAATTTCATTCATCAGAATACCGTCGCGAATCTGATTACGGCTATTTTCCTCTTCGGCCTCTCACACCCTCATGACATGCGCAGGCTATAACTTTGTACAAGGAAGGCAAGGTTTTGAACCTGGTCGACAAAAGATTGGAGGGCGATTATGACGAAGAAGAAGTCCTGCTCGTGGTGAACATGGCTCTGTCTTGTCTGCAAGCAGATCCCAAGAAACGCGCAACGATGTCTCAACTGGTGAACGTCCTCATGAAGAACTCAAATGCAAGTGTAGCTGTGGACATCGTCAACGAGCTACAATCCCAGACACCATACTTGTGGAGCATATCAGAGGACGAACACTACGTGGATGCATATCCTAGTAGACAAGGCGTTCAAGGAGAATCAGCCGAACTTGCTTTAATGTCATCATTTGCCGCCGATTCACAAGCCTCGGTTATGGTGCCTCGATAGTACGTACATGAGCTCATGCAGTATCTCAACTTCCTAGATTAGGTCGTCTGTTCCCTATGTTCTCTCCCAGATATCTCAGTTGACATTACCTTTGCGTGTGCCCTTGAGACACTGTCGTAGGGAGATCAGTGTTTACATTGAACAAGAGTCCATTTACTTCATGCTCCGTCTAATTTCAAGCAACTGCATTCCGATCGTGAGTTATAGAAGGGTCACATATTTTAATACTCCATGTAATTTCAAGCATCTGCATTAGTTATTCCTTAAACTTGCTAGTTAGTTGCTAGTTGCTAGCTAGCTACTACTTGTTAATATAGATTCTGGATTGAATATTGCCTCGTACAGAAACCAAACTGATTTATGAGAGAAAAATAGAAATCTTAAGATGAGAGTTTAAACATCTTAATGTGAATCGATTAGCTTTTTTAAGGTCTTCAAATATGAAAGCATATGAGTCACTATTGTAGTCATTCTTGACCATGCAAAGACTCCACTCTGGATGGCAGTAAAATATTATTTTAACTGACTCGTGATATCGGTACTCAAAACTTGGCTATCCAGATTTCTTGTTTGAAAACATGAGCCATGTTAAAACACCACATTTTTACTAATTAGACACAATAAAATCACTACAGAAATACTTGATATTATGACTCAATGTTATTCTAGTCTGTCAAGCCGAGTATGGTATCTAGAATTTTCGCTCGTTGACGATGTCCACTCACCTGCAGACAACAACTGCATGACATTTACATCTCACGTTGTAAAATATCAAAACACTAATTTTTGTAAATACATTATGTGCCGTTGTGACATGGCTAGTATGATAAGAAGAGTGTTGATGAATCATGTTTTGCTGCGTTGCAGATCATTTTTGCTTGCATCATCATCCACAAAGCCAAATTTTGCGCCGGTAAAATAACAACTTTCGAAATGCTGCAGAGTTTGGAGAGCAAGCAGGCGATTAAAGCTCACAGTGAACTTCGATAAAACAATCGAATGACCTTTTCAGAGCCATTTTGCAGATTCTGAGGTGAGTTCACGGGGAGTTCACAGAAGTAGCAATTAGTTATGTCGCTTAAAGACAAGGCTTTAAGTGTAGAGATATATGAATTCAGAGAGTTGGACACTGCATCAATGAAAACGTATCCCTGTGATAGAGAAATGGACATTAACTATAGCCATGATTCACTGCCAGATTATAACTCGGAGGTTGAAAACAAAAAAGAGGGTATATTTCAGTTCGTCCAGTTGGTGGACAACCTGATGATCATCTTCACATTACACATCCGAGAAAGTTTGTAGCAAATTGAAAATATGTGAACTTTAAGGGATCTGAACGACAAAAAACAGTGTGATGGTTGGATGAGATGAGGTGACTAGTGATAATTGAGGCAGGATGCATTCATTGAGCGAGTTCAGTCTGAAGAAAAGGAGAGAACTGGATAGTAATTACGGCAGTAGACAAGTCCGTGATGGAAAAATGATGCTCGCGTGTTGGATGGACTAGACGAAAACACTAAAAGAACGAAGATAAAAAACCTGGGAAATCAAAGTGTGTTTTGTTAGTTTTAACAGAACGATGATTTAATGGATGAACTTGGTGGATTTTTACTACGTTCGTTTAGACAACACAAGACAAGACTAATAGAGATTGGGGATTATAGTGAGAATTTGTAATACCATGAGTTCTGAACAAAGACTGATAATTAAATACAAGTATAAATGCAAGATTATGTGAATTGTATGAAGTTTATACATATCAATGTATAAACTTCAAATACAAATCTTTATGGTAATGTTAAAATATGGTTGAAATTTTAACCAAAAATATATATTTTTTGATACTTGAAAGAGATGCGAAAATGATTTAAATGTTAGTAGTTTCCTCAAGATTTTGATTATTTTCAGTTCTGTAATAACCCACCAAAGGCTAAAACTGCAGTATGGTGGTAAAAAGATCGAACCCACATGGACAGAGGCAACACACAGAGTAAAAGTGTCACATTTAACAGACTTTTGGTAGAGTTTGAATTCTAGGCGACTGTCACTCCCAGAAATACTGCAGTGCTCGACTCGGAGGCTCGACTCGGAGGAGGATCTCAACTCGGAGGATGCTCGGAGGATGCACGGTACAGCTTGGTCACTCAACACACACACACACACCTGAAACTGGCAAAAAGCACAACTCGGAGGTCGGTCAGGACCTCCGCTTCGGATTTCAGGAGGAAAGTGTCTCGCAAGTTCACTCAGAGGTTCTGCAGGAAGTGCCTCCCACTCCGGCTTTTACTGCCCTTCCGCCAGGAACTAGCGGGGGTACCCGGACTGGACTTCTCACTTCGGAACGAAGCCTCTACGTACGCCGTGGACGTCACCCTCGACTATCACACAAAACGCAGGGAGTGCAGACCCGACTGAGAACTTACTGAAAACACGATCCAGTAACACACACACAACCTGAATTACAAACCAAGGTTTACACGAAGTAATGAAACTTCACATTGGCATTCAGGGGAAACTTCCCGTAGGAGTACAATCAGGATATGTCACTCGAAGGAGTAAGGGGGAACTGTTCAAGTATCTAACTCGCAGCCGGCTCTGAGTATCAGAAATCACCCGCAGGTGCAGATCCGCACTACTCAAGTCTCTAACCGGGTACTAGCTCTGAACATTCAGCCGAAGGCCTTCAACTACAACATACGGTAACTTCGCTATGCTGCAGCTTCTCTACGTGGTGCCAGGACCAAAATGCACAAACACGCCAAGAAAGTGAGTTCCTGATCTGCACTTCCGAAACTGGAAGAGTCAAAAGGCAAAACGCCTTGAACTACTTTATACCTTCTAAGGTCCTAACTAACACTACACTACCCGCTAGGGTGCGAGCCGCAACAGATCCTACACCTGAGAAGTCGGCGGCTACCTTCCCCTCTAACTTACAACCTAAATCTAACCCTAACCCTAAATCTAAATCCTAAGCCTACTGTACTGAGCCGCCAGCGTCTTTACATCCGAGATCTGAGGCTGAATATTTGCAGGCATGCGTGGCCGACTGAGATCAACGGCCCCACCAAATTTCAGATCCATCCGACCGTCCATCGCAGAGATATGGACTCCGCAAGATCTCTGAACCGCATCCGGTTTTCCGACTCCGAGTTTGCCGACTTGAAGTTCGCCGACCTCAAGTTCGCCGACTCCGAGTTCTCCGAAGGCGTTGACCGCCGAAGACGCACTTCCGCACCTTTGCCTATTTGTAACAGTCGCTTCCGACACCCATAACTCACAGATCCTTGATCTGTTTCAAGAGTTCTTGGGCTCGTTGGAACGAGCGCGTCAAGCTCTTTCTAACGAGACCCTAACTGAGTCAAACCGTTACGAGTTGAAAGAGTTATGCCAGTTTTATCCTTCGCCGAAGGCACACTGTCGAAGGCTTGTTATCTGTTATCGCCGAAGGCGCCCGCACGATGTTTCGCCGACTCCGAGTTCTCTGACCTCAAGTTTTCCGACTTGAAGTTCGCCGACCTCGAGTTCGCCGACCTCAAGTTCTCCGACCTCGAGTTCTCCGACTTGAAGTTCGCCGACCTCGAGTTCTCCGACTTGAAGTTCTTTGACCTCGAGTTCGCCGACCTCAAGTTTGCCGACCTCGAGTTTGCTGACTTGAAGTTCTTTGACCTCGAGTTCGCCGACCTCAAGTTTTCCGACCTCGAGTTTGCTGACTTGAAGTTCTTTGACCTCGAGTTCGCCGACCTCAAGTTTGCCGACTCCGAGTTTGCTGACTTGAAGTTCTCCGACCTCGAGTTCGCCGACCTCAAGTTTTCCGACCTCGAGTTTGCTGACTTGAAGTTCTTTGACCTCGAGTTCGCCGATCTCAAGTTCTCCGACCTCGAGTTCGCCGACCTCAAGTTTTCCGACCTCGAGTTCGCCGACCTCAAGTTTTCCGACCTCGAGTTTGCTGACTTGAAGTTCTTTGACCTCGAGTTCGCCGATCTCAAGTTCTCCGACCTCGAGTTCGCCGACCTCAAGTTTTCCGACCTCGAGTTTGCTGACTTGAAGTTTTCTGACCTCGAGTTCGCCGATCTCAAGTTCTCCGACCTCGAGTTCGCCGACCTCAAGTTTTCCGACCTCGAGTTCTCCGACCTCGAGTTTGCCGACTTGAAGTTGACCCGAAGACGTCCGTCGCCGAAGGCGAACATCTAGGGCCGAAGGTGGATATTCTGCTGACGACGAACTCCTTCCGCCTATCCGTAGGCGTTGTCCTTTGCATCTTCCGACAGTCACAACTCCCTGAGTCCTCATCCGTTCCAGGCTTTCTTGGGCTCGTTAGAACGAGCGCGTCGAGTTCTTTCCAACAAAACCCTAAGTAACTCAAGGCGTTAAGAATTGAGGAAGTTATGAGTGATCTACCGCCGAAGGTGCTCGAAGCGAGTCCTGCAGCGTGAACCGCCCGTTCCATTCCAAGTGTTCCACTGTGGCCTAAGCCCAAAACCCCTTGACTGTCCTCGATCCTCTTTTTACTCTGGCTTTGCGTACCGATTACTATTTACAGCTGCTACCACGGTACTTACTAATCAAAAATGTTCTAATTCCGACGAAAAACAAAAAGTGGGTTACCACAAGTTCATTCAAATATGATAAGTTAAACTAGTTAGCTTTTGTTCATGAAAAGATTGGATTAATGTTTTATCACACAATTCAGAATTTCTTAAAATGTTTGATATTTCTTGAATATAGATTTGTTGGATGATATACATATTTCGTTTCTTGGAAATGCTTCTCATTTCAAATATCGATTTGGACCAGCCAATGAAATTTGAAAACGAAAGAAAATCAACATGTTGAAATTGGCAAAGAGCAACACTATAGTCAAAATCTGTTAATCATAAAGAACAAGAGCATGTAGGATTTCTGTTCTTTTAGAATCTTCACGCTCGAAATTCCATGCAATCTGAGCTGTTTTTTTATGATCACACTGTGATTTCAACGGACCAATTTGCTAGGATGTACAAACTTGTATAATGCCAACTATGGACGATGAGACTTAACAAGGCTTTGAGTTGAATGGGGAAAAAAATCTCAAGGAAGTGTCTTGATTCAGATCTGGATGGATTCGCAGCTTTTAGCACCATTCAGAACAAACATTTGCGTCGTCCACAGCTTGGAAATGCTATCGTACATCATCCTCCATCAACAGATGATGTGATCGATAATTTTTCTTTTATCTTTTTCATTTGAATGAGATGGCTCTATTGAAAGAAATCTTAATTTCATATTGATTATTGTTCACGTTATACATTTGAGGAGGGTACAAAAGTAGATCCATGCACATATTAGACTTTTTTATGTCTTGCGCCTCACCAGGTGTTTGATCTTTGACCTGCTAAAGCAGAGAGTTGTAATCCACTAATTCCAACAATTTGACAGTATTTTCACCAATCAAGTAAAATGCAACACTTTTGATATTGTATGTCCTTTGTAAAACCGAATGCTATGGAGGATTTTTGCATACTAGGAATTATGAAACTAGAACATGAAGTTAGTATTGAATTGTGACCATGAGTATTTAAGACAGACCTGGTGTTTCTTACCATGAAGGGTTGATCGATTGGACCATGATTTTAGCATGCACTAACATACCGACTTCAACATGTGTCTAAAGCTACCAACAATCTTGGATCAGATTTGTTGACTTCAGCTATCACTTTTGCAATCCTTGACGCAGTGTGAATTAACTTACCCATTGCTAGGATGCCTTGAAGTCCATTTTCCAAGTTGATAAACTTTATGCAAATTTTTTTGTTTGGACGATGGCAAGATATAGCGGAACATGATTGGCATGATGCATACTGTAAATCTATATGTAAAAGATTTCTTCAAGCTCAGTGAAATAACCAACAGAGAATAAAAAAAATAGTCTTATCTTTAGCTTCACGCTTGTTCCGCATCTTTCTTATAGCTCCTTCACTAGCATTCTATTCATGCGCTAGAGTCACTTACTTGAAGAATTTGTCTTCCTCGTTAGGATTCATTGAAGAATTATTCTTTAGGTTTTTTGACATTGCAAATGAACCAGAAGATTGACAAATTATATTTCTAAAGGACTCACCTACCGGCTATGTATGCAAAATCCTTCTAAGTTCAAGATGCGTACTTAGGAGTAAGCCTCGGCAAGGAAAGGTAGCCCTAAAAGAATACCCGGTAAAAAGGTAAAAAGTAGGGGTAAAATTTAGAGGTTTGGATACAGGTAAGGGGTAATGTAAAGGTAGTGCTAATCGGATTATCCGGTAATTACCAGTAACGCTCGTACCCGCCAAAACCAAAAACGCGGACCCTCT